CCCTCGATAAATTTTCTAATTTATTCTACCACCATCCACCCTTTCAATATGATCAAACAGTCGCAGCATATACCCTCATATAAATACGTATACATGTGAACACTATATTGTACCACAAGAATAAACGATATATGTTACCAACAGTTTCAAAATTAAATGTGAGTACAAAGGCGAGCCCTTTGAGGGATTTCTTCAAATCAACCTTTAAACAACTGAAGAGGATATTTTAATTCCTGGTTTGGCAATAAAAATAGCCTCAGTCATATTGTGTGCGATCCACCGAAAGCATTTTTCACACGCAAATGTTTGTGTAGTATTGATTGTATTCGACTCATGCCTATGCCTAAAGATGCCCGAATCTCATGTCATGTAGCATGCCTGTCTGTTTTGATCATACAGCGCACAGCATCGATGTTTTTGTTGTTCACAGCATTGGACGGGCGACCATCACGAAATTCGTCACTGAGATTCACACGACCGCGTTTGAATTCTGCAAACCAGCTATAAATAGTCGTCTTGTATGGTGCTTCATCGCCTAAAACGGTCTTTGTAATTTAACAGCTCAGCGGAGCTTCGCTCGGCTGAGTTGTTAAATTACACTTAAAGTCGTAGAAAATCATACTACGAAAATTTTCACAAGTTAAATCCATGGTGATGTAGGCAACTAATTTCTAAAATAACGCCACAATGTAAAAACAAGTAACAATCAGATGAAACAAACTGTAGCCTACAGACAAAGAGTTCCATTTTCAAATGTTGTAATTACTTTTTAAATATTGTTTATGTAAGGGCCAATTCCGGCAACTAATAGTGCGCCCTATATACCATCAAGAATCAGCTAATGTTTCTGATTCCAACGGTATATATAACTCAATATGACTCTAAAGTGTCGCTTATCCCATTTTGCCTTTCAAGCGTATACAGAGACTTTTAAATGGGACAGTATGGGAAATATGAAACCATAAAAGATACAAGGAAACTGTCTTTAGAACCGTTAAGTATTTTTTTGTGAAAACAATTATAGCAAAGTCAATTTTTTACTCAAACATGATGTATCCACAAAAATAAATAAAAGTGATCAAATTTTTTTTTAGACTAATAGACTCAGTTTGAGCGAGCACGCGCGAGCTCGCGCGAGCTTGCGCGATATTATATGAGACATCGTGAATCGTGTTTCCGTTGCAGAGTTAATAAAGAGTCTATGTAGGCAGCAATACGGTTCAATGTTACATCAACAAATAATTCAAATCTCGTCTCGCCCATCCTCGTCAATCCCGACCATTTCAACCGAAGATGCGCTAGGAGAGAATTGATATTTTGCCATAGAAGTTTTAAAAATCGTCTCGCCTCGCCGGTGGAAATACACCCTAAGACAGTTTTCTTGTCTCTTCTATAGTTTCAGATTTCCCCATACTGTCCCATTTAAAAGAAACACTCTGTGTATTCAATAATTACACAAATAAATAAATTACTTATATCAAATGTACATAATATGAATGTATAAAGTATAAATAAATAAATGATGATACACTTATACATATAAAATTGTTTTATATTATAGATTTTAAAGTAAAAAGTCTCTTTGTTTTTTAAGTCAAAGTTTCCAACTATACCACAAACTTTTTAAAATTTACATGAAGAAATACACTCAAATGGCTAACTTACAAAATTAAAAATTGCGTACCCGAAAATAACGGAAAGTCGAATTAAGGTTGCCTCACATTGCCACGGCCGTTTGCTGCAGCTTCGTTTTCATTTGTTGTTAAATGAAGTGTTGCCTTATCTTGTAGAAAATAAAGTTAGCCCGGCGGCGGCAATATGACACAACCCTTATTCTTTGTGAATTTTAGAAATGCTGCAAACAAAGTTTGCCGATGCTTTTGGCCATTTCTATTTCAAGATGTGGCATCAAGCTGTAACTGAAACTGAACGGTAACTTGACGCTAATCTAAACAGTAACTTAAACGCAGTACATGGAACAGTTAAAAGACAGCATTATCATAGCAGCAGTCTCGTGTATTATTCAAAAGTCGACATTACCATAAGTTGGGCTCCAACTATACTCCAGCCATCCGACATACGAAAGGGGGGAAGGGAGCGTCGGCTTTAAGTGCTCCGTGTGTACTTTATACACCGTCGAGACTATAATTACGTAACGATTTTGCACAGTATCATTTATTCACCTCTATCATTGAATTGACTTCATGGTACTAGAATAATGTAACAGTACTCACTGACTCTACGCTACAAAGGCGAAGGAATATATTCGTATAGTGGTGAAACCTACATGTTGGAGAAATGTTACAAAAATCTTGTAAAATTTGTGAAATCCCCTGCCAATGGTCTAGACACTGACATTGGAAGTGATCCAAAAATTTTGCTAAAAGATTAAATTTCTATCCTAAGGTTGCTTGGACGAAATGAGTACATAGCAATAAGGCCGCTGGTTGCAAATTAACTTATATTTTTTTACGTACAATAACAAATTACTCCAAGTTATCATCCAAGGTAAAATCGCTAGAAAACGAAATGTTGGTTGAAGGCGGCACTCCTGGTTGAAAAATTTGAGGGAATGGTTCAGATGCAGTACCACCTGGTTCTTTAGAGCGGCAGCCTTTGTCAGAATTACCATGATGGTATCCAACCTCCGATGGGAAAGATACTAGAAGAAAAAGAACAAATATTTAATTCGTTCATTCATTTACGAGTATTTTCAGGAATATAATCTTTATAAACTTAAGTCTTGAAACTAAATGAACTCCCTGTTTATTATCTAAGAGAAAAATGCCATGTTGCCAATCTTCTCCAATCCGAACAAAAAAGAATAAAACCCTGATAAGTATTATATCGATAGCAAAATTTAATAACCGAACTGCCCATAAAAAAACACTTACCGAAACCCCTCAACGTGGCATGTGAGACGCTGCGCGGCAGATCTGCGCTTTCATAATGTCCAGAGGTTTAAAGTCGTAAAAATTTACGGCCTGCGTTCGGTTATGGTCACGAGTGTTATTTGCGGCGACGTTGTAAACTTGACCGTTACCACATGGTCCTGCTGGGTGCTCCCACTGGTAGGAGCACGAGGACTACCACGATTATCAAACTTACATGCGCATTGAGTACCGGTTCTCAAAATCATAAGTTTGGTATTCTTTTGGACGAAAAAACGAGCCCTCTCACGATGAGTTACTACTAGCCTCCTATTGGCGAACGGAGAAAGCTACAAAAACAATGTCTATAAGAGAAAGTGATAAGAAAAGGTAGAAATTGTACTGTATTGCAAGAGAAATTCAAAGTGCACTTTAGAGTATCTATCGGCCGACAATTCAGTCAGGTCTCCAATCAGCTTGCAAGTGCGCACATTACAACGATTCGACATCGGCCGATAAATAAGTTTGTTGGACTGCTCTTGCCTCTCATCACCTTCAAACTGATTTGTCGGCACACTGTCGGCCGACTGCTAAACAATATGGCGCTCTTCAACGCGTACACATTTGCGATTTTTTTGTTCTGCCGATGCACCCAATACATTCAGTTTCTTTTCTTAACCCTTTTCCTACGTTTGCTGATCAGCGTACTCATCACCAACCAGGCTGTTTAGTTGACCGAGTGTGCACGCTAGCAGCCCAACCCAACTCGGTTATCGGTGATATGATGTATCTGTAGTGTGCTGAAAACGCAAATTTTACTTTCTGAAACCAACATTAAGCAATTACGATACGACTAAATTGATGTTACTTTCCCCATCTAGCACATAATATAGGTATATATATAACCTATGTCATTTTAACTAGTAAATAGTTCACCTACTGCCAGTAGATGGCATTGTATTGGAAATAGTAATATTGGTGACAAATAAAAAAAAGGTGACGCTATTTATAATTCACATCTATTGATCGGGCAATAGTAACAATAATAGATATAATAGCAACATAGGTGTAATCTGGTGGAAGTGTTAAATTACTTTCTGCCTAAGAGAAGTTTGCCTTTATTTTACGTTTATTTTATCTATTTGTGCACCGTAATTAGGAAATACACCGTTACGCAGCTACTCAAAATACAGACTATTTGATTCCGGCATTGATGTAACTGAGGAAACAGGTAATTTTTTTGCGAATGCAGAAATGTCGTTGTAAGTAACTTTTGACCGAATTCCGAATTCGTATTTTATACAACATTTAGAAAATTGACAACATACAAGTCATTTAAATGACATTAATAAATGATGTTGATGTTGTGGTGATTAATGAAAAAGTAAGGCAACTTAGTGTACATACTAAATACTTAACACAACCAAAAGATAATGAAAACGCAATTATCATTACGCTCATTTTTCTCTCGGCCAGATGCAACGAAGAACGTTAAGGAAACTATTAATTATCCTCGGGACGGTAATGAAGATAAATCCACTAATGAGAGACCACACTGCGACTACGACGCCACGCACTCGCCACTGCGCACTGGCGTCGGTTGCACTAACTTTAGACTAATGACTGGGTATTGTTGAACACACATTAAAAATACTATAACGTACAGTAACATTACAATAATCAATATTCCTAATTAATATGAATGATAACTAACATTATAGATGTACGTTATGCTTAAATGCTAAAACTAACACGTATATAAATAAAACAGTGGCCGACAATTTCTTTTAAAACAAATCGATTTGTCTTCTCCCCTGTTACTGTTGTTATTATTAAAAAATAAGTGCGCATTTGACCTCCATCTCAATTGATGGAAAGTGGCGATGAGGTTGATGATGGAAGTGCCTATTCACTCTCGCCTTGAAAAGGTCCAAGTTGTAACGTTCAGGGAACAAGTCTGCAGTATGGTTTCAACTATTTCGAGTTTTGAAAGAACTCCAAAGTCACTAAAGTTTTCTGCTACCCAAAATTCCATTACGACAAAGAATATCACCTTGTATATAAACTCAACCGCAGAAAGGATAAATAAAAATGCTGTTCGGACCATAGCACGTTAATAGTTGGGAGTCCTTAGTTGCATTTCAAGGGTTGCCTTTGTTGCCTCCCATTGTTTTTTGTAGTGATCTGTGTACCGTGTAGCCATATCATTGAGGACCTTATACAGGTTCTCAATGATATTGGTTTTTCTTTAGGTTGGTGGTTTTTCTTTAAAAGATATCTCTCTTGGAAGTTTAAGGGAACCGACAAGGTCAGCAAGCATCTGTTTGCTATGAACGGCTATCTTAAGCGATCCGGCAACTTTTTGTCGATCAGCGCGCTAATCGCCCTTAACTACTACTTACTAATGTATGTGTGTCTGTTTTCATGTACGACGCATGACGCGAATGAAGCTTCATACATGACATCGTATTTTAATTTGGTCGAGTATTACATATTTGACAGTGATTGTTTCGGACGGACGTCGACCTGATACTCCCGTGGGTACCAGTTGTGTACTCGCCAACAAATAGACTTATTGTGTATATTAATATATATTTTATTACATAACTTCCATTTATATCTTTCTCTCTTGTCCATCGTACCTTACCGTACCTTTATATTTAAAAAGTAATTTTCTTCGGCCTATCTATAGGCTACAAATTTTATTTTGTTTCATTCTACGTTTTTGTCCGCTTATAAATTGAAAGGGTTAACAACAAACTCGAGTGTGTGCGCAACCCATCTCGGGACTGCGCAACAAATTAAATCGGTGTTAGTAAAGCAGTGTGTGTCAACGGGCCACTGGACTCACTGGGCTCGCTTGCCTCGTAGGACCAACGATAATTAATCTCAGCCTGACGCTTGACTATGACGCGCTTACAAAGGCCCGGCGAGGCGACTCTCGTCACTCTGCCACTCGTTTGTTACAACGAACTTTTAAAGGACAGCTCTATGACATGCTAATGGAGATGCACTTTTTACTTAATAGACATTATAATTAGTTTTAAAATGAGTTGTTCGGACTCATCTAAATGATATATTGGCATTTAACAGTGAGAGAAAGAGACGTGCTTACAAATATATAATTTTAAAAAGTCATTACTATCATATTGTTTGCTACGACCTTAAAATGTCATTGTTTCTTTTTTAACAATACAGCAGTGACGATTCGTTACATCGACTGTGAATTATTGTTAAAATATTGACCAAAAACATTTTTTACTCCCCAATATAATATATACAATAAACTTACAAGTATTATAAAACGTTAAACCTAAAATCTATAACTCTGCGGGTCAAGACGTGGTGTCAGTTAAGACAATGTATATATAACCTTTTATGTAAAATAGACGCACTCATGTTAGCGGCGATGTGGGCGACAATGTTACGCATTTGTGAAAATGAATATTTATTTACTCTTGAAAAGACCTAAATTGCAGCTTTCAGGAAACAACTGGAAGTGTATTCCATTCCTTTGCCAAACGCATCAGGGATAACGCACAGTGCTACGTGCGAATAGGTTGTAAGGTTTAACAACCCATTATACGGATACGGATAACTAGAAAGCCTATTTCTAGTTATCCGAAAACTGATTGAAAATAACATATTTACATTAAAAAAGGAACTGTAACTAACGCCAACATGGTAAAATTGGTTAGACTTCAAAAAAAGTTTGTTGAAAACAAAAATATTATTTTGTATGCCCGACAGCACTAAATAGGAAATATTAAAAATTGTTTATTTTTGTGTCATTGCCAGTATCTAAATAACACGAAAAAGATGCCTGTTTTTGTTAACTTATAGCATAGATTATATAGTATTGATTTCATTCATATCTTTGGAATAGTCTCTGAAACTTGTGATATTTGACTTATATTAGATATCTTTCTCAAAAAGTATAATCTTGTCTTTGTGTATTTTCAATAGGTTTCAATAATTCGCATCTGGATAATTATTATTGTAAATAAATTGCTGGTGTGTACTGTGAACGTTATTAAAGTTTATCGACCTTACATTGTACATTATTAAAAATGATGTAACATTACAGAGTGGACAGCCAGACATTTTTTGCTTTACGGCGAAATGGTAACGTGGTTGCATAGGCTGTGAGATGCGTGAGCGTGAGGTAGCGGACGCGGTGCAATTCATAACAAATTTAGACATATCTCTTTTAGAAATAAAAACTGATTTTTCCATGCTATCGCAAATTATCATTTGTGATTTTATTTTATTGGGAGAAGTTTATTTAATCGTGTTCGGGGCCCCATAGTTCACTACCGGTAACTTCTGTTTACATTATCAATTAAAAACCCAAGTTGAATTCGTGTTTTCTTCCGTGTGGTTGAAATACTTCCGAAGGTCTATTTTGGGTCTCACTCGTCTCACTTCACCTTAAAGTCTTTAAGTGTCAAATGTATGTAGGTATATGTGTATATTATTTTGTAAACTAACAAAAATTACCTTTGACAGACTTTTGCGAGCATCGTGAATCAAATCAACTACTATACACTGTAAACTTAAGGCAGGCCTAATAACTCGTCTCCAGATAATATCGTCTCCTTGGAGAAGATCATTAAAAGTTTACCAAAAAATATGTTCGAAAAAATAACATCAAAATATTATAATATCGTATTTGAGTTTCATGCATTCCCCTGGGAGTAGTTACGAGAAATGGAGCGCCATAATTTCGCCGGTTAATACTTACATCTTGCTGTGTATTGGTAGTAAACAATGCGAAATGTTAGTACTGCTTGCTCTGCACGTGGATGGTTACTTATTAATCTCAATATGCCTTTGTTTCGAGGTAAATATTACCTTTTAGAAATCCACGGCAATTTACGTTAGAGTATTAGAATTTGGAAGATATATCATTGCCTTGATACTTTATATCTTTATAATAATGTACATGTATATAAATGTCAAATTATTAGATCTTTCATTACGCTGTCTGTGTGATTAATTCAGTATTCCTTAACCCGTGTCGTAGAAATCGTGTGAAAAGATACAGCTAAATGTGTCTACTTGATTGCAGCTAACGTACGCCGAATAAGTGTACGTAGTCCTTGTATGAAATTTTTATAATTCGGTATTGTACAGATTGTAATCAGCGCACACGCTACATACTCGTCGCTCGGCGAGATTATCCATCCCACTATCCATCCATCCAATTACGGCGCTAATGCGTGATTAGCATCTAACGGCCTGCTTACATTACATGCCATTACCTACTCCCACCCCCGTTCATATTATCAGCACTCCCAGAAAGTGAGAGATGTGCGAGTCATTTACAAAATTTGGAATTAGTAAAAGTCAACTACAAGAAACAAGTTTATTAGTTTTAATCATTAAAAGACCTCGAACTACACAGGTGACATTTGAAAGAACAATTGAAATAAAAATAATTGTCATTATTATTGAATGACGACAGCCACAATTTGCTTACAAGTGGCTTCCATATTATGAAGCTTTGGACTAGCAATTGCACCTACGAATCACGATCAACGTGGTCTGACTTCAATGATCTTAGACACCTCTTTTCAAATGAAATATATTCTTGTTTGTATAATGTCTATACCCGTAATAAAAAGCTAATTCACCAATAAACACAAGCACACTAGCTCCGTACATTAAACCTATGAAAATAAAAGCTCCAAACAAATGTTGAATGCCGAGTGGAACTATTGTGCTTGCCCCTTCCACGTTTCCTCGCCGAAGCAACAATTCCTCGTTCCATTTATCTATAAGACCGTTTTCTGACACGCTCCGAATAATCGAGTTGAATCTTTGCAACATCGGAAACCATTTTCTAGACAAAAGAACTACTCCGTATTTGTACAAATTGTCGCTTTCCGGAAAGCAATATATCAACGGCGCACCCTTTCCAAGTTTTTGATCCTGGTAAACGGCTTGTCTCCTCGACGAAACTACGGCGAAATTCCTTTCCAAAGCAGTCCGATGGATCCCTTCAACGAAAGACGTCGAGTTATATTTGCGATACAAATAAAACGAGCTTGCGTTATTAATCTCAAAATGGGATCGGTAAATCTCCCTCCCTCCCAACGGAATTCTAGACTGAATAAGATCCGCCTCGCTACTGATCTGTTTTTCGAATCGTGGGTGCATTAGGAAACTGCGTAAAAACGATTCGTAGGATATCCCCAAATTGATACTAAAGAACAGCCACCCCAATATCAAGATACGAAACGTTGTGCTTTTCGGCTCAAATGACGCCCCCCAACCCAACAACATACTGAACGTCATTAACAGAGAATTTGTGGGCCATGTCGTCACTTTACGGTCTTGCTCTTTGTAATAGAAGTAATGGAACACCAAACCCATTACTATGAGGCTTATTAACGTGGCGACCCAAGTAGACCATTGAAAAATAATGACCAAGTTATCCCAAGTCGACGCCTGTCCAGCTTTGGGAACACACCACGTCATCTCATCTTGCGTGTAACTCACAGTCGGATCAAACCATTTACGAAGGGTCCTAGTAACTTCAATGTTGCCTATAACTAGGTCAACCGAATCATTCCTCAGAGCGCCGAAGGCCTCCGTCGCTGTTCCATTCGGATAAATGATTCCCCAGCCCTCAGGTGTCTCTGACATCCGTATAATAAGACTCATGTTTGTAAATTGACTTATGATTTTAACAAGACTTATCTCACCACCTTTATGAAATTCATAAGTGTCATCAAAACTTGTATTCATTAACTTTCCTATCGGCGGCATTACGTAAGGCTCTGAAACTATAGCGAACACAATCAAAGAACAACCTTTCATATCTAATGGATATACCTCTCTGTGAGGTTCTATCTGGTGTATTTTATTGTCTCTGCACCTATCTAAAATGTAAACAGAATCACATTTGCCTCCGCAATTGGTATTGCTGTAGGGACTCCACGTATACGCAACCACTTGGTTATCTAGTGGCGAATGTATGAATATTATACTTTTAAGGAGCTTGTACTCTCGCAACTCATTAATAAAAGACACTACTATCTCTTGTTCATCCTCATCTACACGTAACTGGTAGAAAACGACGGCTTTAGCTAATGGATTCCACGTAGGCAATTTATTTAGCTGTAGTATATTTCTCCTGAGTTCTGATTTTTCTTCTAAAATCAGCATATAATTTTTAGCTTTCTCCGGAAAATGGGATGCGTTAGCGTGACGATAAAAGGAGTCTTTTACCATAACGGAATACTTGATGCCGCCGTGGATGGTTTGCAAAAGTAGTCTTTGTGTAGTGGAAACGTAAGAGTTGATGTTTATTATCACTATGCTTCCACTTAGTGCTTGTTTTTCGACGAAATATTTAGCGGAGAGTTTTAAAACACACTCAGCGGTTTTTGCTACTTGGTCGGAATTGCCAGCTGTCATTAGTAGCGGATTCCCGCTTACTATATTAAACAAAAGTAAATGTAGCGAAAGCGGACAAAGCCAAATCTTAGCACACATCTTGACGATCATTTTCAGACTGACGTAACGAACGAAGGTACATTTAACGTAATGTCAAGAAAATGAAAGATGATTGAAGGTTGCGATAACAATCTTGAACTTTTACCGTGATAGCTGACATTATGATAAATTGTTCTTTAAGAAGTAATTTTACCCCTGAATATTTTTCCCTGAACTTTAAAACGTTATTGTCGAAGGATAAAGTTCAACTATTAGAACACTTAATGATATATTTAGTGGCAATGTTCGAAAATATAGTCTGTTCCAATCCATTGTACGAGAAAAATAAATAAATCACTCAATAAATGGAGTCCGTAACACTTTCACGAATATTTCGAAGATTTCGACTTGATATCTCATCACTTTTTCTAGCAATATTCGTTTGAATAACATATTAATATCGTATTTGGAAAGTATTAGTCCAAAAGTGAGGTTATTTTCAAATATAGATTTGCAAATAGTCTATGGTTGCATAGTGCTATAAGAAAATAAATCATTCAGTTCGTTCAATTAGTTTTTGTAATCGATTAGTTAATTGAAAGTTTCAATCGCAATTAAACGAATATCTAAGTGTAAGGACTTGAAGCAGGATTTAAAATTAAAATTTCGGAAATTTAAAATTTGCTTTTACAGGTTGCGTAAGAAAAACCACTAGCAGTTATTCCAACTGATTCAATTAAACTAATCGATTAATTCAACTAATTAATTGAATTGTAGGTGGCAGTACAATTGGCCATCACTAAATCCGTCTATGGTCGGGACAGTGGTCTGTTTGTTTACTTTTCTTGTGCAATGGATTGAAACGATGTATAGTTAAATTGTAAAACAAACCATTTTAAAGGCTACCTCATCACTGAAAAGAAAATGGAAGTTTTCATAATAAAACAAGCAGATGTCATGTATTTCACATAATATATTATTATTTCAAAAACTGTCGCTTTTACACAAAACGAAACTTGGTCCGACCGCAGCCGAGTATTTAACAACTTTAGTTTATCAGGAAACTAAACAACCGATTGTGTGAACGCTGTCTATAGATACATTATCGTTTCCATAACATTTAAAAATAATAATATCAATACAGGTTGGAAAAGAATGTTCCGCAAAAGACATATAAAATAATTGTTTTATTGAATAAAACTAAATGCTTGTAATACCTCATTTTTTTATAAGAAGCTGCATCTATAAACTTTACAATTACTGTTTTTGAAAGTCCAAATTTCGGTACAAATAATTAACTACATTAACGTTTCATTTATTACTAAAATTGACAAACAAACAAATTTCCGACTAACATTTTGTGCCGTAAAACGAGTGTGATATTCACCGTATGGTACCACTTAATTACATTATCATAATAATTGTTAACTATTTACAATAAATGCAACTTCAAATACCTAGAACCTGTGCTTCATAACAATCTATATAAATATGTTTCTCGTCTTACATTAAAGCTAAGTAAAGTTTCGCTTAATCGGAAAGAGGAAAACGGGACGGTGGATGTATTCTCTAAATGTAAAAATATAAGCTTTTTATTAAATTATTACGAGAGAAAACTGCATGCAATATAATAAATATCTACAAGGGAAATTTCGAGCCGTTTCGTCAGTCAGTCAATTCATAGTTTTTATAAGGTTCACCATAATATAGGTCAAAGTCAAAGGCAAAGAATCATTTATTCCATAGGTAAAATAAATTTACACTTGAAAATGTCACATTTAAGCTACTGCTCGCTGCTGCTAGGAACAGTGGATTGTACCTCGTAACGATATATTTAGTGGACCAAAGTCGAATCCTTGTAGAACGCCCAATTTATTAGTTAATTAAAATCAGCCAACTTTCCAGTGTTTCTAATTTACAGTATTGACTCAATATCTTGGCTGCGAATAATTATCAAAATGAACCATCAGCAATATTTAACATTCATTGAACTCACTTTTATTCACACAGATCAATACAATCGGAGGCTACGTAGAGATCGTCGTCGAATTTTAGTATTTGTAAATAGCGTCCATTAGGCCTCTAGATTTTTAAAAACTTATTTGAGAGGAAATTGAGCAAGGATGGAGGGAGACAAACAAAAGTCATCTACAGTTCATACCAAATCTACAAGCTCATCCGATTACGCTTCCTACGATAATGTACATCCTTCGAGCTTCTAATTCCAAGCGATATTAACCTTGATTATGTCCATGTCCTAACCTTACTACTCGCTGTTCTCTCTAAAAATATTGTATAAGATCTAATAAATATAGGAAAGAGATATTGAAAAAGTATAGTAGTCTTCAATAGAACGATATGCTTCAATTTCGTGTTGGCAGCCCAAACGCCTTATCGTGGTACTTTTGGAATAGATCAATGTTTGGTTTGGCTCGATCGCAAGTTTAGGCGACTTTGATGATTTCATCTAATTCATACAGGGCTAATTAGAAACTTGTCAATCGTGAAACTAAATATTAAGAAAACAGCCGTTAGAGTATATAAATGAAGTCGCCCAAACTTAAACCTAGCCGTTAGTGAAAATTGCCTACAACCAAACTACTTTAGTCTTAGTGTAAGTTAAACTATCAAAGGCAAGTAGATAGAAAAGTGACCTCGCGAACCAGCCGAACTCATTCGAAATAAGTCTAGAATAAGGCTGTAATAAAAAAAAACTATACAAAGTAGTAAATGCAATTCCCGAATTCAGTAGTCGGAAGCGTCACATACTTTCAAATTGATCGTCCAAAATTGCACAATCCGATCGCACAAGTGATTCCTTGTAACGTTACAATAATAATTAATATTTACAATATCTAAACACTTGCGTATCAGTCAGTTGTCGTCTTACTTTATCGTCCTAGCATTAAAGCAACTTACAACGTTCTTACAGTCAACAATTGTCATTCCGCGCTCGCGTCCCCGACCGCCAGATCGAACTCGCGAGGCGACCGGAGGCTGGAACAACTACGGGGTCGGCGCTGGACCTTCGAGCGCGACGGTGCGATATGTGAGGCCTAGACGTACCACTCCTTGATGCCGTCCCGCTTGACGGGCTGCGTGGGGCCGGGCGCGGCGCCGGCGCGCGCCAGCGGCAGCGGCTGCAGGTTGCGCGCCGCGCCCGCGCCCGCGCCCGCCGCGCCGCTCTGGTAGCTGGAGTGCGCCTGCGCGGGGCAGAACAGACTCAGTCATGGTGCCGGCGGAGGAGGCTGCTGCGACGCAGCGAAAATGTTTCGCGGCTACTACATGCGTCAGGCCTGCTAATTAGTGCTAGATGAAGTTGGAAGGCGTGAATTTCTAAATATAATAATTGCAGACTTGGGTCTTGCTTTGCTCAAAATAGAGAAATGGAGGTGCACGCATTCGCTTTAAACACGGTTTTACATATAAAACTATCGATTCTACTGCCAAATTTAGTGTTACAAACACTATTGAAAGCTGTGCAGTTGAACTAAAAGATCATAACTTTATAGTTATATGTATATTACACAGAGTTCCCAAATATTAATCCAAAATGTTTTGAAATTTTTTATAACAAACTGCATGATATACTGACCGAAGTATGCCACCGAACAACCAAAAATACAATATACGGTGGTTTGAATGTAAATAGTCTAGAGCTTTCCAAATTATGTCTACAATTTTAAACAGTACAGGATTTTAATTTCAAATTCGCATTAAATGTATCAACCTAGTCCCAGTCCCAGTATCGGTACTTGTATTGACAATGTTATACATAATATTAATGGTGGGAGGTGGAAGTAGTTGAATTTGCGTTATCTGATCATACACCACAATTTGCGAGACGCCCTGTTGAAAAATTCGTTAAATTATTGGTTTAAGATGAGACAACTGTCTAGAAAATATGTTAAAATTTAGAGAATGTCCGAGCAAACTCAACTCAAGAACAGCCAGTAATAACGCTTTTAAAATCATTAATGCTTTCTATGCCATCTTCATACTTTTCTATCAATTGTGTTTGCCTGTAATAATAGGTAGAAATTTGGCTAAAGAAAAACCAAGATGGCTGTCACGTTGAGTAAGATTTGTGCTGTAAAAAGAAAAAGGATATATTATGGATATGAAAAAAAAGCAATAAGAATAAAACTGCATGCATGCATAAAATTTTTTCTACAAAACTGAATAATCAAAATAATAAACAAACAAATATAATATAATAAGATGTCAAAATAAAAAATAAATTTCCAAACAAACAAACGCAGAGCTACGTGAAAAATAATAAATAATAGTAAACGAAAAGTACCCCATGATACTACGTCTGCTCTACAAATTATTAACATATTCTAAAATAATGACTGAAAATTCTCAAAACTATAGAAGAAGCGCAACAAAATTCGAATGTAAAAAATGAAAATAAATGTAATTATTCTTCATGTAAATAATTTTTTATGAAACATACAGTCGCTCAAGACTATTTAATATAGCACGATACGATGACATATTACAAAAATATTAAAATATGTAGCTGATATAATTTATTCTATCCTTACAGACATAAATAATACGTGCATTAAAGAGGGATAATTTTCAGAAAAAATAAAAATAACAGTTATAGAAACGATCTAAACAAAAGGCAATAAACAACTTACGGAATGATAAAGTAAATATAGACTTGTAACTCTATTGCCAGGTTTCTCTAGTGTTTGAGAAAACTATTTATGACAATTTATACAGTTACTTTGAGAATTCAATGAATTTTTTTTGTAAAGAACAAAGAGATTTCAGAAAAAACAATTCAAATAATTTAGCAACATACGACTTGTTAGAAAAAAGTACATGAAAGAATGGATAACGGATTATCGGCACTTGCTATATATAACAAAAGCTTTTGACTACGTAAACCTTTATTCATATGGTACGTACAATGGACAACACGCATAACATGATAAAACTTATTTAAAATGTGGGACTCCATTGACCATAGATTTAGTATAATGCCATTGACAAAAATAAAAACCAATATTATAACGATAACGGAAATGGAATATAAGTCTGATTTTAAAATATATGGAATATAAAGTATGCACTGTATGAAGTGCCGCAGGGTAGCATTTTGGGGCCCTTATTCTTCCTAATATATATTAATAATATTATGTCAGCACATTGGAGATGCAGACATAACAAAGTTCCTTCATTATCAAATAACCTGGAAAACACAATTAGAGAGTATTTCCAGTAAACTCGACATTTATGCATAGGAACGTGCTTAGCAAAATTGTACATAGAACTTGAGTCTTCAAGCATACCCTGCTTATTTTATTTAAAAAAAAACATGTTGGACTTGGTTCAATGAGTTTATAATATACCTTCAATATGTTTGTATGCCTAATGTTTGGCCGGACACAGTGAAACTGTACTTATTTCGTACATTTCAACTTCCATACAACCTGTGTTTTCACAATGTATTGTGATTACGAGGTAGACTCAGTGCCGCGGGAGCAGCCTCGAATTCGAGGCCGGCGGGGACGTACCTGGTTGCCGAGCAGCGCGGCGCTAGCGCCCTGCTGGTAGCTCTTGTCCTCCGTCACCTTGTACGAGGGGTCCAGCTTGAACACGATGTACTTGAGTACGATGATCACGATCAGGATTATCGCTATCAGCACGGACGCCACTATGCCTGCGATTGCGGTGGACAATGTTACTCGATTGCGTCCAGTCCAACGTGGACGGGGAGAAATTTGAGCTTGACCGAACTTGTGTTGCTTTAACTTCTTATCCTATAGACGGCATACACTACAGTATTGTAGACCAAATCTCGGCCACGCCGACCGCGTTACAAGGAGCCGCCATTAAATCCTCCTTGCTTTAACAGAACATAGTATAGCAGTATCACCGTTTTCTAATATTATATAAGTAGGCAATACTGTCACTAAAGTACTAGCCAAATTACTGTCCAAATATGTCATTTTAAAAACCAATCAAGCTCGTAAGTGGCAGAATAATTGCAATAGTACATACTTATCTAAAACGTGAAAAGTACACGAAAATATTTTTTTTAGAATGAACTAAAGTTTTACATACCGACAATAGTGGCAAAGAACTCTGATTCGGGCGGCACAACTCTATTATCCGTCGACTTCGGATAATAATACTTCGTAGTGATTTCATTTTCGTTAAATCCGTTATAATCGGGATGTAACCGTCCTGGTATTCTATCGTGTTCTTCGATACCGTACGTTGGCGTCTGTTCAATGTCGTTGCGATCGATTTCGTAGTCTCGTATGTTATGGTGGTCTTCTTCTGTCGTGTGCAAATCGGGCTCTTCTGGTGTATGGTGTCCCGTGAGAGTCGGCGTATGGTGGCTCGGATAAGTGTGAGCTGAAAAGATGTTTACAACGTCAATTAATTAAGAGAATTTGCTCTAAAACCGTGTATCCGGGACTACTGTTCTATATCTCCTGGTTTTTATCTTCCGCGCTGTTTAAACATACTCATCACGTGCTATTATAACTATTGCCCGTAATTTTCCAAGGTAATCTTTATAAAGATCCACGTACATAAATTATTATTATTTTCAGCTGTTAGACTGTAATTTCGTAGTGTACCTTCAAACATTTCAATTTATAATTAATTCATCGAGTATATAACCAGAAATGGAAACGAAATGTCATTTAATTCGTTTGAAAACTATTCTGCCATATCATTACGGTGACAACTGCGATCCGATTGGCCAGTCCGAATTGTTTCATTTCAAATCGACCAGTGTAACTTGAGCTTATAATATATTATATTATATATATTACAATGGACGAAAATTTACATATTTAATATTTAATTACCGATGAAATGTGATTCCCTTTTGTTTTGTAATTGGATATTTCGCTGGTTTTCTCACACCACTGAATGGGACAGCCCCCATAGTTAGAGATATTATCTCTACTGCAATAAATACAGAATATTTTTGGAATATACGGAGACGTACACACAGGTTAGTTGTTGGAGCTGTACTATTTCAGCTTTATAATTTGTGATTTCAGTGCAAACGATAGATAATATTCAAAAGTGATATAAGTCCCATTTTTCTGGTGAGTTGCCAGGGATAGATGATCCTTATTTCGTCTATATTTCTAGTTACATACTCGACGTTTAAATTAGATAATACGGAATATGAAGAGCATATACCAGGCGTAAAATTATTATTTCCTTAAAAATAAAACGATGTCTGATACTATTTTTCGGTAATTTTGTAGTTCCCAAATAAACACCACGTTTCTACCTCTATTTTTGTTAACTGCCTCGGTGGCGGAACGGTTAACACACTGGTCTGCCGCGCAGAGGTTCCGGATTCAATTTCCGGGTCGGAAGAAATATTGATTGATCCTTGTGAATTTGGGTGTAATTTGTGGTCGTGTGTGTGTGTGTCCACGGCACTCGCGACACAGGGTTTCCCTAGTGCGGGGCTATGTTGAGTGCGCGTTATTTGTTTATTATTATCATTGAATGAATTCGAAAGTCTGGCACCGCACAAAGGGCGAGCGTTCCGCTCAATCCGTATTGGGGCTGACTCACAGTCGGTGGCGGTGGTCTCCCGCGGCGAGCTGTCGGCGGTGCCGGAGCGGAAGTCGCCGTGGTCGGGCAGCGTCGTGTGCCGCTCCGTGGCGCGCGCGCCGGCCGTGGCCGCGGCCGTGGACGCCTCCAGCGAGCCCAGGCCGTGCTCCGTGGACGGCGACGACGCGGTGGGCGACGTCATGCTGCGGGTGCTGGACGCGCCGGGCCCGGACCTGCGCCGACGCGTGCGTGTACTCGCGAGGCCGCGGAGCCCGTCGCTCGGGTTTCACGAATTTGGAGTATGTTACGTTTCGCTTGATTGTCCGATCTTATTGCATTAAATTACTGTGAAGTACTGTTATTTCGTTTTCATTACGGTTGCTCGTAATGGTATGATTGCACGCTAGCTAACTTGACTCTAATGCCCCAAATAAAACCCTCGGGTCTATTTTCTTCCCATTACAGACATGGTCGGTAAGAAGTTTCTTTTTTAATTTGTCACGATACACTTCCTTACATAGGTCAGGTTCAAATTCAAGCAAGGAGATTGCTAAATTCAAAATAAAAATATTCGCTTAAAATGTTACCCAAATAGAAATTTAATTGCATTCAGCCACATAATACTTAAATACATATTGTTCAGAATTTTTTGAATTGATTTTAATTGTTTTCTATTTAGGAATTAAGTATTTTTTTATAATCTATCGTGGTTGTATGCATCTTTGCTTTTTACAGTAATTTGATTTGTATCATCTATGGAGGAACACCTAAAAAAAATTCACCATTTCTAAAATCCATATTGCTGTGTTGTGACCATATGTATTCATACAAAAAATAAGTATTGTATTTATTTCCTCGCAAATGTGACGAAAATTAGTGTGTGTATCACAGACGGTAAAAAAAATACAAAACTCAAAATATTGCAGCCCTGAGTCTTCGGCTTCGGGCTTCTAATAGACTTTCGTTTGTCAATCTGTATTAACTGTCCTTGGTGCGTCCACATTGTTAGTCATAGGACGCCTTATTCCCGAGCACAGGTCGCCTCAAAAGAGACGCTTTGGGATTTAAATTTGTAGTGTAGCGGGACTTACGATTTACGAAGTCCCCAAGTCACTTCAGGCGTTCTACGACGAGCAGGTCTCCTAGCGGCGCCCCGAGCCGTCGAAGGGGCGGCGACGAATGAACACTCGCGGCAAAAGCAAAGGAGGCGCGAGACACTCACGCGGTGGAGGGCCGGTCGGGCTCCGTGACGCGGTCGCCGCCGGCGCCGGAGCCCTCGACGCAGTCCTCGTCGTCGCACGGCTTGGTCATCTTGCCGCTGGGCCGCGCGCCGGGGCGGCCGGGCGGCCGGCGCGTGGCCGGCACGTACACGGGCGTGATGAGGTCGTCGCCGCCCGCGCGCTCGGGCAGCACGCAGGCGTCCTCGTCGTCGTCGCGGCAGCCCGAGCCGGCGCCCGAGAAGACCAGCTCGTCGGCGGCGCCGGCGCCGTAGCCCGAGGGCGGCGTCTGCTGCATGCGGTTGAGGTCGCGCTCCAGCGGCGCCGCGGCCCGGCGGGCGTCGCCGCGCACCGACGCCGCGGGGTCGCCGGCCGCCGCCGCGTCCAGCACGCGCACGCCGTCCACCACCACGCCGGCCAGCACGCCGCTGAAGGGGCGCGCGCCGCCCGCCGCGCCGCCCAGCGCCACGGCCGCCATGCCGTTGAAGATGGTGGACTGCTGCCCCGCCAGCGGCTGGCGCAGGTTCACGGCGTAGTTGTCCAGCTGCAGCGCGGCGCGGCTGCCGTTGCGCGTGAAGCGCGCCACGTGGTAGGCGCCGTCGTCCACGCGCGCCGCCTCGTCGCCCAGCGGGTGGTCGCCGCCGCCCACGTTGTACACCATGAACAGGTTGCCGCGGATCTGAGTCACGGGCGGGTGCCGTTGTAGGTCGCTCCTCGTCGGAACTCGCGCGGAAATAAACTCGCAACTTTCACTGCGACTAGCGGGCGTCGTGTATCCGGAAACCTGACTTTTTCTATACGTAGTCGTCGATTTCTCCATCAAATGTAAACCGATTTTTAAATTGTTTTTGTCTAGATAGCCCGCATGTCTAGATAGAATCGCACAAAAACCGAAGGAATCCTCAAATTTTATAGATATATACAGTGTATTTATTAAACTGTTACATTGAAAGGTTCTCGGACAGACGTGGACTTACATGCCTATATTTACTAAAAATGGAAAAATAAACTTTTTAAAAAACCAACCAACTCCAAAAACCGCAAAAAGTCACTACACTATAAAGCGAACAATAACAAAATACAAATTTAATCCAAATGACAACAATACACATAATACTTTTTATTTTATTAAAATTATAGGTAGAATAGAATACAAAGTTTTTTATTGTTTTTCATTTTTGTTACAGTTATGTGCGCAAATGGGTGTATACGCAATGCAATGTTTTAAAGACCTATAGAATTACTTTATGTCGTGTAGATAGTTTACAGCTCACAGAAAAGTGCAATACATACGTAAAATTTATACCTTTCTTTTTATTTCAGAACGTATTCCCTTGGGGGTACACGCCGTTTACTGACACGTTTATCCTTGTCTTTTTTGATGACATACTCTATTTCACCAATTCTATTGCTGTAAACCATTGTATTGCGGACCAGGCGTGTCCAGTACCGCGATGTACATGTCATTTAATTTTTCTAGTATGTCTCGGTGCAGATCGTGTATCCTAAGATGCCACGAATCTTCATCTAGCATATCCCACAACATTTCAGTGGGGACTGAACGAAGAAAGCCTCACGCAGACTTAAGAGCCATACGATATTGTCTCTCAAGCGTCAAAAGATTTGTTCTGCTTACTCTAAAGAGTAGCTGCACTATTCCGTAGTCTAGTATCGGAAGTAGACAGGCCTGTACCACTTTAAGTTTGGTTTCTACGTTTGCCTTGGAACAATAGCCAATAATCGGGGCGCGCATTCCTCTGATACATTTAGCTTTTCTAACGATGCTTTTGACGTGTTCAGTCATGCTTAATCTTTTGTCTAGTTAAACACTAAGGTATCGTACACAATTTTTGTAATCGAGACGCGTCCCCTTTAATTTTACTGTCGGCTTGTAACCGTTTGGGTTTCGTATGCATCGTATTCATTTTTTAGTGAACATTATGCACTCTGTTTTGTCTACGTTACACTGTAATTCCCAAAGTTCATAGTAATCAATGGATTGTTCAGCAGCCCATGTGCCACGCCGCGTAGCTTGACCCAATCGTTGCGCCGAGTTTAGTATGCACAAGTCGTCGGCATACTGAGATAGCATTTGTCCAGCTATTCGTGACTTCGTGATGTCATGGACATACAGATTAAACATGAGAGGCCCCAGGATAGATCCTTGGAGTACCCCGTGTGGCACCTCCACTTCGTCTCCAATTGCTGTTTGGAATCTCCCTCGAATTCTTCGTCTCATTAAGTAGTTTTCAATCATTTTGACGGTATTGTTGTGGATGTCGTTTTCGATTAGTTTGAATGTGAGTCCTTTGTGATTTATCGAATCAAATGCTTTGCTTAAAACTGTCAAAAAATTTGCTTAAAATGTTCATAATATCTGTGTTTCCGTGCCTCTGTGACGCATGAAACCGTGTTGGTAATCCGGGATTAAGTGTTGATATGTCTTTAAAATTCGGTTATGTATTATTTTCTCACATACTTTCCCTATAATGTTGAGTAATGTGATAGGTCTGTAGGGTTTTACTTCTTTATAGTTTTTCCCAGACTTGTGTAGAAATACATTCTCCCAGTTTCCACCTTTTAGCGTAGTAACCGGTTTTTAGGATATAGTTTATTACTTTGAACAAGCGCAGTAGAATGTAGGACCCGCTTGCTTGAGGGCATCCACCTTTATGTGATCTGGGCCTGGGGCTTTTTTATATATGGCTTTTTTTACTTCCAGTACATTTGTTTCTTCTAGTGGTTGGTACAGAGTATATTGTCCGTTACCTTCGTCTAACTTTTGGATAGATTCTTTCACTATTAAATTATAGGTAATAAATAGGTTTAGATAAGAATTGTTATACAATAATTATAATACTGTGTAAAAAACGAAATAGGACAAAAATAAATAAATGGTATTACTTGCATTTGGATTAATGTGTATTTTGTTATTTTTTTGCTTTTTAGTGATTTTTTGTGGTTTTCAAAGTTGGTTAAATTTCTTTTTAAAAAGCTTTTGTAATAAAATAAAAACTTTTTTTCTGCACTTTGACTGGAATAATATTTTTCAGCTGGCAGACAAGCGTGTCGCGTCCCGAATTCATCGCCCGAAGACGGACCAGTAACGGGCGGCGGACTCACGATCTCCATCTGCATGTAGTCCTGCGTGTTGGAGCTGTCGACGCGCAGCAGCACGGCGTCGGCCTTAGTGGTTACGAAGCCCAGCGCCACGCGGTCCGCCTCGGTGTCGGCCACGGCGCTGGGCGGGAACGTGTACGTCACGGAGCCGCGGCCCGGCCCGAACTCATAGGCGATGGACTCTGTGAAAGACGCGCATCAGAACCAGTCAGACCCGCCATGCTTGGCCGCGCGGACGGGCCGCCGTCGCCTTACCGTCGTAGCACGTGGGCCCCGTGAACGACGTCAGGTCACAGTCGCACACGTACGTGTTCCACTGCTGCACGCACACGCCCTTGTTGGCGCACGCGTTGTGGGTGCACTTGGTGGGGCCTGCGGAGAAAAGCCGAGTCAGACCGGGACGCGACGCGGTGACGTCGCCCAGGGCGGCCTCACCTTCGCAGCCGGACACCAGCGAGGAACTGGGCGCGACGGCGTCCTCCATCAGCGAGGGCGACTCCCCGGGCAGGTCGAGGCTGGCCATGCACCCTTCGAAGCCCTGCCGCGACAGGACCCCTACCGGCAGGGAGGTGTACATGTCCCTCGGCACTCCCCCCACGTAGAGCACGCTGTCTAGCTCCAGCATTAAATTTGAACCTGGAATTTCGCGAGTAACGATTAAACGGTAGACTTCGTAGCAAAATATTAAAAAACGGGGCAGGGCATACTAAAAAGTGTAATGCGCGATCGAGCGCCTGATTTATTATCCCAGGGCAACTTTAGTGTAGGACGCCGCGAAAAGCAATGTTCCGGTGCATTTCAATACGCCAACAAAATGTTCAAAACCGGTACTCACTTGTCGTGTGCATTTCTAGATCGTCGTCCACTTGCAACGTGTGGATCTTCGGCGTGGGCCGCCTCACGGACACCGTGTGCCATCGATTGTCATTCAAGAAGTTCTTCAACTTATCCTTCATTGTTACTACACCATCTCCTAAATTGAACACGCAATGGATATGTCCGTTCACTAGCTCTATCGCTATAAAATCTTGCTTCTTCCCGCCGTTGTAAAACAGCAGGCCGTCCATCTCGGTCGTTCTAAAGTAAAAATCTAAATATGTGTTCGCGTACGCTTTCAACAGAGGCAATCCGACGTACGTGTGCCGAGATTTGAACGTCACGGATTTATATACGTTTAAACTGTCAGGTTTTACAAATTTCCCATTGAAAATTATGTTCGCCGTGTCGTAGATGTTATTGTTTTCGTCTCCGCTTCCGATACCGAGAGACTTCGCCAAGTCGATGTACTTGATCCCGTTGAAAACAAACTTCTGTAAATACCCCACGAAGTTCGGTAATGTTGACGTCATTTGGATTTCTTCTTCGGGGTGATATAGACCTCCTAGATGTAAAGTCGATATTTCCAACGTGGAAGCCTTTCCTAAAATCGTTTCAGCTGCAAAATAAACCAAAATAAATGATAACATACCGAATTTTATAAATTAAACATTCAGAGACAACATTGACTTCAAAATAAAAGAAATCAGCAAAACAAACGCCTTACATTTCGTTAGCAGCCCTTGAACAGTTATTTACATAGTCAATACAATAGCACAGAAATTCATGTACAGAAAGTCAAGCTTAGATAGATTTAGTATTAAAGTGAATCCTAGCAAAGGCATAAGAAGAATTTAGAGTCGCCAATTTGTTTCCAAGAGAACACAGTACAATGCTTGAGTGACTTACGCTATTATTACTTGCAATACGTCTTCAATTGATCTATAATTATTGAAAGAATAGTTTGACGATATTTGTACCTGATTGGAAACCTGATCTGTTCTTTCATATTGCAGTCTAAATAAACAAAGATTTTCGAGGTACTCGGAACAGAACAGGTCACGCACAGGTCAGAGTAAGAGGAGCACGAGCACAGAGGACACTACAGGAGAAAGAAACAAACGTAAAAGAAATAAGTAAAGAAGATAAAGGCATCTAACTGAAAGGTGGAGATACCGAGTGCCAGCTAGAAACGAACGGAAAATAAGCCACTACGCTACTTCTAACAGGACATCTAACATCGAGAGGCGGCTTTGCTCAGAGTTTCTCGAAAACCGCCTCGGATTCTTACACTCTACCGCCGCTTCCGCTCCGTCGCCCGAGAGCCGCCGGGGCGCGTAACGGACGGTCGAAGACGGCGGACGGGCGACGGAGCGGGAGCATCCAACCTGGCCATCGCTACGAGTCGACGGGGAAAAGAAAAGGTGCGGGTGCGGCCCGTGCATACGTACATAACATACCGCGCACAGGCGCCGCCGCGTCCACCTGCAGCTTGAGGTTGGAGGCCCGGCGCGAGAAGCGCACCGTGTGCCAGGCGTCGTCGGCCACGCCGGCGCCGGCCAGCAGGTTCTTCTCGCGGTCGCCCAGGCGCACGCTGGCGCGCACGCGGCCCGCGGCCACGGCCAGCTCCAGGCGGTCGGACGAGCGCTCGGCGCTGGTGCGCAGCAGCAGGCCGCTCTGGCGCGTGCGGAAGCGCAGCAGCAGCTCCTCCGTCTGCGTCAGGTGCTCGGCGCCCAGCGCCGCCGTCAGGTGCTGGCTGCCGTTCAGCCGCACGGTGGCCGCCTCGCGGCCGCAGGTGGGCCCGCCGAAGCCGGTGGCCGAGCAGTCGCACAGCGGCCGGTTCCAGCCCTCGGAGCAGGCGCCGCCGTGCTGGCACGGCGAGCTGACGCACTGCTTCACCAGCACGTGGCACGCCGGCCGCACCGAGGCTGGAATGGCGGGCCGCTTTTCTTTACTTATCGAGCCTTTCGACCACTTCTATCGAATGTGAAACGTTTTGTCTCCGGCCCGCCGACGACGAAACCGCAACCGTCTCAACGTTCCGCGTGGATACCTGGATGCGTATAATACCCTCCCGTCACCCGACAAAATAAATCTACATAATTATGGCAGGTCGTTTCCGTCGCGAGAGTATATTAGGGCGTTACACATTAATAATGAACCACTGGAATAAAAAACCTTAAAATAAATACGTCCTAGGAAACATTTAACGCAACGCTAAAAAAGGTTAAATTATTATAAGAATGCTCACAATAAACCACTGGCCGCATGTACCAGAACGTTTATTCGAAAAAAGAAATGTAACAACCACAACTTTAACATGCCATTAGTTCCATCGCGCCACCGCTAGATGGCATTACTAGTACTCTGAAACGCGCTATCGTTTTGTTAACTAACTTAATCAATAGTATTATAAGTCATCTCATATGTTTTGTATGTGGCTGTTTACCATAAATGCTTTCTACCGCTATAGCAACTGTATAGCACTGAACGGCACTTTACAAGTTATTGAAAAGTTCCGATCTTTACTCCCCTGCTATCTTACTTAAGCTTCGGCACTTAACTTGCGCTTTCGCGCACGTGAAACGCACTATTGGGTCCCTAACCGCGTACCTTTTTGTTTTGTCTTATATGTAATATACGCCTTGCGCACTTTCCGTCTGCGTCTCAATATCTACGCACCCCCTCCGCTCACCTGCGCTACAGAATTACTTTTAATCATATTTAGTGGTTCTTGTGAAAACATAGACACCTATATAAAAAAATAATCATAAACATTTAGGATTATTATTCATATGAATCGAAGCAAGATTTATTGTCTGTCGCAGCCATTGTTACGAATATAATTAGCGTGATTAAATATTAACCAAAGCAGGAGACAGAGCGCCTCCCCGAGGAGCACATGCAATGAAGTGCGTTGAATAGACTATTGTTCGACATTGTTACGTAGTTTACAACTAACTTCAAACTAAGTTACTTAATTTCAAACGTAAACATTATGTTGAACTGCTATAATAAGTACATTGTGTAATAGGGCTGTAAATAAGAAATTATTATCGAGAGTCTGTTAGAAGCCCGAAGCCGAAAGCTGAGGGCTTTAATGACTCGAGGTTTATAATTTTTACCACCCGTGCTAAATACAATGTTTTTCATCACATTTACAAGGAAATAGATACAATAATAATTTATTTCTTGTATGAATAAGTATCGCTTTACCTTACAACATTTACAGAATTTGCAAATGGCGGATTTTTTGTTTTCTTTTTTTAATAGATTGCAATCTAATCTCCCGTAAATAATATAGCTCGAAATAAATTGTTATAAAAAACACAGACACATGTAGCCACAATGTATTAGATATAAATTAATAATATCCAAATTCTGAAAATACTGTAGATTTTGAATTCACGAAACAAATTTAATAAAACATAGTTAAATTGCATGTTTACTTTTTTATACTTCAAGTATAAGCGAAATATACGTTCAGATTTATCAAGCATAAAAATTTTTCGCTTGACGTAAAAATCTATAGGGCGAAAATGTAATGAAAAAGCCCTTTGGCATAATTTAGGACATTATTGTTAAACTTGAAGAAGTTATAACAACAACATGAACAATGACTTGCCAGGAAAAATGTGTTTATGTAAAGTAAAAAAAGTCACTGAATATCTTGTTTCTTATTTTCCGAACCTTTTCGGAAGCGATATTTCAATCATTAGTGTTGTATGATATATGACAAAAGCTACCGCGAAATACTGTGTTCATATTTTAAAGAAACTGTACTTTGTAATAAGTGAATATCTAACATCTGACAAATCAAAAAATTCACCTGAATCTTGTTGTCTCGCGTAGGCAGTCAAATCCTGAGGTTTTCCGTTCAGCACGAGATCTCTGATGCATCCAACGAATCCCTGCCTCAGTGCTGCAGTCCATAAAGCGGGAGGTGTTCTTGACGCTGAGTATTCCGAGCCTAAGCCGCCCACGAATAGCGGGCCGTCTAGTTCCAACTGATTTGATTCCCCTGGAAATGTCATTATAAAACAAACTTTGGTTAAGTCGTCGTAAGAGTTCTTCGAGTTTGATTCCAGATGAATCCACATTGGAAAAAAACTTCACACCCTATTGGTGTAATAAGGTCATTTGCAAAATGAGAACTTTTCAGGAGAGAGGTTTAAAGATTCTACGAACTAAGTGAGAAGTTGACTTTTTATGCTTAAATAAAATTCGTTATAAAATTATTATATAGTATAAACGTATATCATGATCATAATATACTTTTTTTTTATAGTATCCAGTGTCGGGACGAACAAGTCGTGTGTCGTGACCAATAACAGTTGCAGTGCCACTCGGAGCTTTAATCTGAGGGGCACTGCCTCTGTGCCTGTCACCCTTAGACATAAGTTGTCAAGTCTCATGTGCCATTTCACCAGCACCCTTACACTTCAAAACCGGAACGCAGTAATGTTCACATTACTGCTTGGCGGCAAAAATAGGTAAGGTGGTACGTTTGTATTATTCTTATCACTGTGACCTTACTACTAAGGATACGACATATGCAAATTGGTTAAGATCCAACTAAGAAACAAATTTTATTATTCTGTGGTACTCATAGAGACCAGCAGGTTTAGCATGAGTCCAAAGACAAAAGTTATCTCTTCTTCGAACAGTCAATTACCTCTTAAGTAATTTTTGTTATTATTTGGTACACTTACTAAAGGCCTGGCCAAAACAACGTGGCAGAGTCCATGATCACGTTAACGGTATTTTTTTTAATTCAAATTTGTGTATATGTCTACCAATGTTCGACTGATCGCCACAACTAGTTTGATATTTTCAGTAGTTGCTCCTCTAATAATGAATGGAATTTAAATTCAAATTCGTTTGTCACTCTAAAATACTTTCGGAAGCATTCCACGTCTTTAAAATACGTACGAAACGGAACGTAACGCTGGAGGCAAATACGTACCGGGCGTTTTAAACTCGGCATTAGCTCCATCAACAGTAACTCTTCCGTCCCTCCCAGTTCGCCTCAGAAGAAACTCGTGCCAATGAGAATCGTCTACTCTTCTTCGAGAGGCTCGAACTCTCACTCCTCCTGACCCGAGGTCCATGTGTACGTAGATGTAACCATTCAACATCTCCACAGCAAACAAATCGGCCTGCAAGGTAAGTAGTGTCACAGTTCCTAGACAAACCTTATGAAAACAAATAGATAAAACTTGATAGAAAAACGAATGCCAAGTGGCTATTCCAATTTAATTTAGATTTCATCACAAGATAACCTAAATGTACTACCAATGTTTACAGAAGAGAACAACGCACATTATTGTATAGTTAGTGAGTTACAAGACCAATTTCACACTGACAAGTTCATAAAAATGAACTTTATAAAAATTCAAGTAGCACTAGTGACTTTCAAATGCACAAACCGGCCTCGTCGCGAAATCAATAAAAAGTAGCTTTGAAACCAAATAAAATCTACCACACGTAATATATGCAGTCCATTCGCAAGCAATTTGAATACTAACGTGCGCTCGGAACTAGCCAGGCATGCAAATGTAGAAAATTTGAGGTACCACGCCCGGAAAAGCCGATTTTGATTGTCAAATCTCTCAAATATTATTAAATTTTAATGGAAACAAAACCAGCAGAGAATATAATACGTCATCATAAGGTAAAGAGTGGTAAATAAACTACAAATTAATAAATAATAAATTTGGTTGTCTAAATATTTGACATGATAGCCTCCTAAGGTGAGAGTGAAGCTAGCCTTGGCTACGCATATGGTGCGAATTTGTGTAGGTATTAATAAAGCCCTCTCTATAACAGAAGCTTACAATATAACACGTAATCTGTCAAAGTAGCTGTTCGTGTCGATAAGACCTGCTAGAAACCTTAGCGTGTACTGGTGCTAAGCCTAATCTCGGGTATCCCGTTGCAGTCGTTGTTCTACAGTGCACATCAAATTACATATCCAAACACAAAACACTCCAACATCTCAAAAGTGGGTGAAACTTTATAAGGTACCGTACACAAATTCCCCTAAACTATGGTCCATCATCTTGGAAAATTACTTTTATAGACTTCTCGGCAGCTTGCTCAGTGGATAATTTTCTAATTGTGTCAAATTAAATGTTGCCCTAATTTAATTAAAATTTTAATAAAGCAGATTTGTACCGTCTTAAAGCGTGAGTTAATAAAACCAAGTTAATCAAGTCACAAGTACTAAAACGGCAATAAATTTAATCTCTAGAATTATCCATTGAGCTTTATTTACAGGGAGTTGCAATTTCGATTTATTAAAGAATGTATTTTGGGATTATGTAAGCCATTTAACGAGGTGGTTAGTTTAGCCATATTTATATAATTTTATCAAAACGGGATGAGAATAAAATGTGTTCATTTTTTGATGCGAACCAAATTCGTCTGAAATCTTACTAATAGCACTTAAATAACTTCTCAGAACGGATGACGAGATTGTTAAATGTGATTTTTTGTTTATAGACATAATTCAAAATATCGATAATTTGGAGTAATTGTTGTTGCTGGACAGATATGAACCAGAAAACAGCTAACAACATCATTTAGGAATTGCAAATCCCTTTAGGTGATAAAGCAGATTCAGTTGATGAAAATAGAATGAATGACAAAAAGATGATGATGGTTGATGGTGATGAAGTTGTTGGTGATGTTGGTTCCAACCCCAAAAGCTTCACCCCTTACCGTGCAACCTACCCTTGGTGGCTTGGCGCCCATGTTGAAGAGGATAAGGCCATTGGGCTCGTTGGTACGGAATTTAAAAGAAATTGTTCCTGTCTTCACAGCGTCCCATTTTGGTAAGATCTGCACACAAAAAATATCCGTTATTAAGCAAAGGGTAACATTAAAGAAATAGGTCGTACAAAGCTTAAGACAAAAATTTATTTATATAATAATTAAATGATGAAAAAAATATATAAAATAATAATTAAATGTAATTTTGATTATTGTAATAATATTCACACGTAAGTAGAATGCCAACTGATAGTTAATTTGACGATGATTTTTTTTTCATATATTGCAAAACACTCGGTAGCTAATGCAATTTAGATAACTACTTAATAGCGAGTATCAGATAATAGACAAAAACGGTTCAACGTCATCTAGTGGCATTTTGCCTAAACTTTTAATATCAAAGACATCGATCAATGCTTTTGTTATTAAAAGTCTTAACAATGTTTTAATTTAGTTAATACTTAATTTAGTTACTCCGGTAAATTTGATATAGACGGAGCATTACAAAATTAAAACAAACGCGATTACAAGTATACAACAAGGCACAAACCCAATAACAGTAACTTTGGTGGCTAATTAATAATGTATGGCTCTCGCTATCCGGCTGGGATCTAATAAACACATCGCGCAAGCAATTAGTGCGCGGTCGCCGGTAGCCGCAATCAATACCACTATTACACTGCTGACAATTCACACTGTCGCCGATTTCGATGAATTCACTAAAGTGGACATTGTAAAACTTTTTACATACTACTTGATGTTTTAACTTTATAAAAGTGTGTAAATATTGCAGCCTGCAGAAATATTCTGTATTTCATATTTGGATGTAAACGAATCACAATCCAAATTATTAACGACATATTCACCATCAACAACCCATAAATTCCTCAATGTCACACAACAGGTGTTTCAAACCTGTAACTTGGGGTTGAACATTGACAGTCAGTATATTTATAGCTCTATAATCTTTAATTCCGCCAAACATTTATCATTTTGAACTCACCAGTACACAATTTGACCTCACTAACTCGACTCATCTATTATATCCAAAAGTACCTTGTGTTTGTCACAAAATAACCATCACTTACATTACATGGCTAATTCTAAATAGTGAAACCTATAAACTTAGAAGGGACCATAACGACATCATAAAATACATAAGCACTTTACAAAGTATGCCTCAGAGGGCACGAAAATAATTCACCGATTTCCCGCAATACGCCTACGTAAATATGCACATATTTACGTGGTACGTAAATATGTGCATGTTTAGGTATAAGAACTTATAATGCTTACGTTACATCACAGCACAGGTTGTGACAAAAGCAGTAGTTACTTTAACTTCTACGACTTCGACGAATATGCTTCCAAAATACATATATTGTCTATTGGTTGAACGAATAAATATAGTTTAATATTTTTTGAGAGGAATATAGAAAAGTTGTGGATAGATGGATAAGAAATGTGTGTTAATACTATTGATTGCATTTGCGGCACCAACATAATTATCATAAACTCTTTATGCCACAAAAGTAATACGTCTGATAGAAATGTATGAGAATTTTCAGACGATACATTGTTCTAAATTCTAAGTATGTCAACGCTATACCCGCAGTAATTAAATTCCTAAGTTTACTCTACATCGTCTAACATCCTGTATAGATTGAAACTCAGCGGCGAAGTAAGTGCGGGCATGGCCTTGTGCCGGTCACCGAATGGCCGCGCCCTTCGCCCCGAGGCCTTCGCAGAGATCAAAGACTCGATAAAAATTAGTTTACTCGCCCTTCCGCTGTTGACTCTTTTCTCGCCTAAGAGATTTTTTTTAGTTGATTGGCTTGTAAGTAAGTAATACACAATGTTCAGATTTCCACAAAAAAAAAATTCGTGTATTTTCACCCTAAATATGAAAAAAGGGAATAAAGGTAACAGTATAAGTTAACAGTAGGAAGTAAACGTAAAACGGGAATTTACCTTTTACCTCTCGTATAGGTGGATTAACAAAATTTCAGTTCAATGAAATAATATCAGAATTCAGAAACCGCAATTGCCCCGAATTTTAAGTCGCGTGAGTGAAAATGCTCAGTGCTAAGTATTCACGTAAATACGTACTATATTACATGGATTATGTTTAAAAGCTTATCGCAAAACCTCAACCTTAAATCGCGTCTACTCGCTTTACTGGGAGACGAAACAAGCCAAATGCCGTGACTTCACGTGTAAACACTCGCTAGTGTGACTACGAGTGCGATGGTTCATTAGTTATTGAACTGAATTTATATTTTTTATATATAATATGCGCACGCTTGGCTACAATTGCACCCGTCAACGTGCATACATACACGTTTGTCTAAAAAAAATGCCGATTCGCTCTAACATTAAATAACCCTAAATTGTGGTTTTCGGGTAAAAGGTGCTGGCTTTCACGGTTTCCAAAGCGCTTCGCTCGTTGAATGAACATATGATCAAAGTATGGATGGAGTGTCCCGGTCTTATGATGTTATATTATTTAAAATAGAAATAGTAAAATGCAACGTTTGACTTAGTAACGTCCTAAAAATGTTCAGTGTATTAAAACAACGGGTAAATTCTGACTATTAGCACCATCAAGTATAAACTAGAAGGAAAAGACTTCTGGGACTAGTTTTCAAATATGTAAACTTAACTACCGCGTTTGCATTAAGATTTTAATTTAAACCATATAGATATATAATTAAAGTCTAAATGAAATTATTAACGTAAACGCGGCAGTTAAGTCTGAATGATTACAAATTCACACTCAGGCCTCTGGTGCTAAAAAGGCGTGAAATAATTCGGCGAGCACAATAAAGTGTATAATCGACAATAAACTATTTAAATCCTAATAATATTATTCACGAAAGCGCAGAAATAGCTCAGCGTTTAACTTAAATACGGTTGATAAAATCAGAGCTTAAGCTTGATTTAAAGGAAAGGTTAGAAATACACGCCAATTGGCGTAAACGCGAATTTCAGAGAGAGTACGATTAAGAGGCATACAAAACATTGGCGCTCTGTATATTCTAGTGTAGAACACCAATGTTTGTAATAATCGCAAATAAACGCATCAAAGCAAACTTGTATGAGTCTTTAAAACATTGCAAATTATTCCACAGTTTAACAGTGACATCTTTATTTACAATGACAGACGCTACGTAACTTAAGTCACAATCACACCAAATCCAAAAATATTGGACAATAATAATGTCATGAAAGAAATCGACATCGCACATCAATCAAAGTCCAGGGATAATTATGATAAAAACAATTCAAATATAAAATGTGAATACCAACTTCACTTGAGCCCGTACCCTTGCACCGTCGGAGCGCCATTTGCGCTTATCAAGACGTTCAAATCAATTTTTCCATTCACCTCGTGCTTTTGCCGACCGTTAGTTCGAATATGGCCACCAAATCCGAGTGGCGATATTTTTTCCAAATACATGACACATGACACATGACTTTATCGCTTAAGGTACAAAATATTTCTTTAAAAAGAATCGACACATTGCCTTTAAACCTGGATATATAAGCACTATAGTCACTAATAAGAGACAGCTATAAAGGCTTAAATACAGCAGTAAAAGAAATAGGTTTTTATCATAACAGCGAAAGGGTGCTGACTAGACTTATGCCAAAATCCCATAAGTCGCTGGTTGCATATAACGCAGTTATCTGAAACTTCGTTTGTTGTTGCACTATTACGGAATATCTATTATGTACAAGCTTAATACCAAAAGGTTCCAAAACTAGAAAACCAAGTTATGGTTAATATTTATTATAAAAAAATATTATACATAATAAATCAACAAAATAATTATATACTTTGAGTTTAATTGACATTAAAATGTTGCCTATAACAACAACAACTAATATTGAAGTGGTTCGATCTAAACGACTAAATTTAAACTTTGCTTCACTGGGGGCCCATTAAATCAAGCCCTGAGCACTTAGCGTTTTACCAGCATTAGGCGAGTGAGTTGACCTTCTAATGAATTACAGCGAAATAGCTTCAAATTCAGAAATTAGGGGTGTTGCCATGAATTTGGTAAATCACATCCCCCACTGTAAGTCATTAAACGACAATGGGCCGAATGAATTATAGCCGCATTTGTAACAATACGCCTCGATGTACTCCCGCCGTTCAATTTGAATAAAATAATGAACATATCAACAGAATAGAAGCTATTTAAGTGATAAATGGAAAAGAAACTTAATTAAAAGATAAAGTGGATTAATTTGATACCGTGGAGGAACGAAATTGGATCAGATTGTCCGGAACAAAGTACCAAGCGTATAATAATTGTGAGATGTTAGAAAGTGAGTTAGCGTAAAGTCGAATTAAAAGTCGCCTTGATATTATACGTTAGAAATAATATTCTACGTTTGAAGTACATTAAATAAACTATAGTTCTTTAGGAATAACTTTTCTATAAACACGCCGTTTCAAACTGTAATATAACAACGCAGGTGATTCGTGGTACTATCCACCTAATCCAAATTTATGTTACCTATTTGTATAATTGAATAGCTCGAACCTAGAAAAACACGTAATGATTTCATTGTCCAACTACACCTCAATTAGCGGGTAAACTTCAAACATAGGAGGAAAATAAGCCATTGTAAACCACTCTTTAGGGGATTGAATGGTCTATAGAGGCTCTCAGGCTGACCGATTAACTCGAACCGAACAAGCCCATTCCGGATTTAATCAGAGTTCGGCACCCTCTGCGAACACTCGGCTAAATTTGAGAGTCCGCCACATAAAGGACTCTTGGGAAACCGGACGGTTGTCGCAAAAAGTCGGGATATATTGAGACTATTGTTTTAATCAGATCTTTCTTTAAATCTAACATGAAATTTTAATATTTTACTACTAAAGATAAAATTTGAGCTAAGATCGTTTCATCAGAGAAAGGATCATAAAAACCGAAGACATCGACAAGTTCTTGGAGAAAAACCGTTCCCAGTAATACTACATAGAAGTCTAAGTATTGTGTCCTGTTAATAATAATGACTCTAACACGAGATCAATGACCTCAAGTAAATATGTAGTACCAAAGGTTAAAAATTATTATGGAAATAGAACCCTAAAAAAACGTATTCCGTACCTACTGAATAGTTTCCCTGAGGTTATTAGACGTGAACATAAGAAAAATAAATTTAAACGTCTTTTATTTCAGCATTTGTTGACTAGTTTAGATTAATTATTAATAGTGTAGATAATAGCGAGATTCATGTTTTGATCCCGCAGTCAAACTGAATAATTCAGTTTTGTGGGACTATGTTCTAGATTAAGAAAATGTTTTTGTAACAAATAAATAAATAAAAAATAAAAAATAAAAAGGTACGTATTTTAATTTGGATATCGGAAGTGTCCCAGCATTGTGGCATTATTTAAGTATAAAGCCAGAAGAAATGTTCGAGACAATATTTAAAATGCTTACAAATTTTATAATATTGGAGGCATTTTTCAGAGCACTGTCTTTAATTGGTCCTGTGTTCAGACGGAAGGCCATTGTGATGAAATGAAGTAAGCGAAGGGTTCATTGCGCTAATACAATATGACAAAGTACAGTTAGTCAGAAATAACGACCACAGTTATCTTTCAGTTATCTGAATTTTGGTATAAAGAGTAGCAGTAAACGCACTTTTTATTGGTTGTTTCATAATCTTCGTACTTGGTACGATTCGTTTCTACTCCGTGAACTCTATTTGTCATAATAAATTCGCTAGAAAATAGTTACTATGGTTGTTTTCCATGAATATTATAGATAATATTATCTATAATATTCAACAAACATAGTAACTATTTTCTACTACGTTCTCTAGAACATATTAAAACGGTGGTACATAGACTACACAACGACGAATATCGTGACGTGTCCGTAGATCTTTGTACAAGTATTCACCAGATCGAGGCAGAATAGTTATAATAAACAGACATGGTGTATGGACATGGTGTATGGACATACTTACGCGGGTCAATTGTATAAAAGTGATACATAATATAGCCTATATTTGTTCAACACTCACCAAATGAGCGTCTCTGGTGGTAAAGGTGACGGGGTCAGCGGAGTCCGTTGCTGTGCAGGCGTACTCGAGACGGCCCGTGACGGCGATCAGTTTACTGCCCGTGCGCGCCAGGTCGATGAGGTTAAGGCGGAGTGTATCTGCCGAAAACTCCACCTGTGGAAAAACAGAGAATTAACTTACGTTAGGTTAGGCGGGGCTATAAACCACTACTTTGTCCGATCCTGGCAAACCTTTCTTGCTTCACTTACGTTCATTAATGTTTCTAGTAAGTACTAAAGCCTTTTTAGAATATTCTTGATTTGATCAGAGAGCGTAATTCGTAGCCACCATCTGCCCATGTTGCCTTTTATGCTTATTATATAAATCATAAAGTAACAAGGTTAACTAAACACATTTTGGTTAAGATTATATTATAACAGATAGTACGATATACTTTAAACAGAAACAAGACCAAAAATTAATCAAAAATAACATTTGGCATTGGGAATTTCTTGAATTAATTATACAATTTTGTGAGAGACAATGAGAAGTAAAAAATTCTATTGTATTCTATTCTGATTCATTCCAAATTGACTAAATCCACCAAAACTTCAAACAGCAATTAAAGATGTAAACGGTTGAACGGCATTAAAATGTTATAATCTCAATCATAATCCCTGATTCGGCAAAGTTTTGGCCCTTCAGCCCAAAAACGATTCACTAGGGACTAAGTTGCCGAATGGACTTATAAAATCTGAAAGCCAATAAAACATTGAAGCGTTAAATGAAGAGATTACTTCGAGCAAAGAAATTGTTGAGGACGTTCATGTCAATTTCATGTTTCCAAACGACAGTTATGAAACGTCTATAGAAAACAATAAATGGTTGCGTGACTTTTCCGGAAACGCAATAGGACAATCCGGTTATATGACTGTTGTACAGAATATAGAGAATAGAACATAGAGGAACGATGTACTAAAAATGGAAGAAACATTATTTCATATTCAACTGCCTCCGTGGCCGAACGGTCACCATGCCGGACTGCCACGCAGAGGTCCTAGGTTCGATTCCCGGGTCGGGAGAAGTATTTGTATGGCCTACATTTATTTCTCTCGTGAGTTTGGGTGTAATTTGTGGTTGTCTATGTGTGTGTCCATGGCACCCGCGACACAGGGTTTCCCTAGTGCGGGGCTATGTGGAGTGTGTGCGTTATTATTAAAAAAAAATAAAAAAATATTGGACTGCACAATAGACGAATAGCTTTTGTCAATGCCTTTTTGGACTGCTTTCGTTCATGTTACAACAATGAATTTAAATAACCACAAACAATTATATTCGTCTGCGAAATTAGCCGAGAAGGCTTTCTTTCAAGCCTTCCAAAAGTTTATCACAATCGTTGTCGACAAAGGCTTCCTTGTCCAAAACTTTAGCACGGGATAATATAGACAACAAACCATTGAGACACATGACTTCGTTATTATACAATTTAGATAATCTCACTCGTACCTTCTTCAGGCATCCAATAAAATTCGTGTGGACCCTCGCACCGGGTAGTGCCCTGGCGTTTAGTGATCCTCCCACATGAGCACGCGAGCTGGCCAACATCGTGAATGAGCCCGCCACATGCGAATGGTCATTGTACACGTCGTCCACTATTGCCGACACCTGAGGACACACGAAGAATAATGTTTCAATTTCTATATCTGTTTATTCACTAGGTAAACCTATTTGCATTTGAAATCAACAGAGATTCGACGCTACTACTAATTCGTAAAGAAGATTTTCACTAAAAGGACGAGCAAGAAAAATATTGTTCTTGGTAAATGTAAATTTCTTCACACTAGTCATTTACGATAATTATTTAAAAATATCATAGACAGAAACAAGCTGAAAGACAAAATGGTTCACTCTCACGGTTTCTAAGTAAATTACATAATAGATTTTGAATAAAGGTAAGTTAGTCACATTAGGTTTTGAAATTCGGAAATGGGTAATTTTGAAAATCGTATTATTTACATTAAATGAATTTGTGACTTTGCCCGTCCAATACTCTACTCTCTTCAATTCTCAGAATTGATTCTTAATTATTATATATGTATGAGTGGCGAGGCGTCCATATAAAATGATTCCCACCGGATTGTCTAAAATTTTATTACCAAAAAGATTGTAATAAACTGCGCGCATATCCCACCACTTAAAGAACATATTCAAAATATTCACTATTAAACGCGTAATAACTTGTCCCGATTTACTACGGCATGCAGAGCGGGTACCCGGGTAACCGAAAAACCCGGTTACCGTCCATTTTGGGACCCGGTTTTCAGCTAAGGAAATACCGGTTTTCTCGGAATATTCGGTTTTGTCTTTAAACTATTAAAACGTAAGTTTGTAATTCATAATATCATTGTATCCTAGTTAATAATGGTAAATAAAAGTTAATTAAATGGTAGGAATTTGGGTACCTAACTACAAGACAGAGACAGCGTCCTCGAGACGGAGACGGGTAACTTTTGGGATAGCGAGAGATGAGCGAGGTGCGCGAGGGAGGTGCGCGAGCAGTATAGCAACAAATCCGTGTCACCTATGCTCTTGCCAGGCTTTTCAACAGAATCCAAGGCGTAATAATAGAAAAAACTGGTTTTCAGCGCGAGGTAAGCCGGTGGATCTGCGGGTTCTATTTCATTCATGAAATCTACGCGCTCCCATCAAAACTCACACACACATTCGCAAAATCCCCTTTTTAACATAGAAAAAAATTGTATTCCAACAAATTACTGTTTGATTTACTTTAATGTCGGAATCGTTGGCAAAAGTAAAACTTTCTTAAAATAATGTAATAAAATGATTATAATAGCAAATTAATATGGTTAATTTGTATTTTGTCAATGTTAACGATAATTAGTCTTCCATATGTATCTATACCTATTTGAGTGTTTCTTTTTTAATAGGGCTACGTAAAGAATGTACGTAAAAGGTCATGGTAATTTGTAGGTAATTACATTAGCAATATTTAGCATTCAGGAGTTTGCATAAACTTTCGTATCGCGACGGACAGCATAAAATATAGTAAATTACTTTAAAAACTATAGTTATTTAATGTGTCGAATAAGTTAAGTGTGAAATAAAGTGAACTATTATCTCGTGTGCCAATAACTGTTGTGTTTTAGTGTCGCAAAGGCACCTTCTTAACGGGGAAAAGAAATTTTGTTCAAGTAAGTGTTTTTTGTTTTTTCAAAAAGTTTAGGCTTCGGCTTTACCAAGGAAAATTATCATGCCTCGCCACTGATATATATATATATATATATAGAATCTTAAATCGATTCAGTAATGTAACAATTAATAATGGCACGCATGAGTTAAGAATAAAGTTACGGAGATGCAATACCGCCAAATACGAAATTGTCCATTGTATTTGCATGAATTCGCTTCATTAAAAATGTGGTACATTCTTATTTATGTGGTAAGCATCGACCTTGATCTTCTCCTTTATCTAGCCCCACCATAAGTAGGATATCACAAACTGCTGCCTTAATAGCACTTCATTATGTCACCTCTCTAATAACACGGCTAGACTATAAATGGGCGCATAAGACCCAACCTGTTTGCCACCAGGCCGACAACATCTGCAGATTTACGTGTAATTACATCACCTGCTGTAATTTATTGCACGGTTAATGAGACACGCTTTACAATGGGGACAGTGCGACGAACTTCAGAATGAGCATGCCTCACGTTAAATTGTAAGGATGAGAAGGCAGTGCGCGGTTCCGAGAAATACAAGTTAAATACAGAATTTGTTCCAACTTTGTCAACGTTTAGATTTATCCGTGTCAACGTCGGCGTGCGTGTCAAACTTACCCTCCAGTACACGCAAGTAAAGCCTTGAACTGACACTAAAATAATTTCAATGTCAGTTGAACGTTCGGTACACGACATTGACGGGAAAACTCATATTCCATCAGAAATTGTGTATTTGAACATCGCGAATTCGACAATTTTCGCTGAAACTGTTGTAATACGGATTTTATAGTGTGTTTTATTGGCACCGACATA